GTTGGGAAGACCCTTAGACAAGGAGAGTACCCCAGGTAAGCACCTGACCATGAGAACAAAACAGAGGAAGCAAGAATTAGTGGAGGAAGAAGTTGAGGAATATATTGGCTGTATTGGAGATACAGGGAGAAACAAAAGACCTGGCCACCAAGAAAGAAAAGAGCAGTGACCTCCCCAAGAAAAGGGGAGCAATTCATAGTCAAAGACCAAAGGATGAGAAGACCCAAGGATAATATACAAAAACATGAGAAAGTACTACAGCAGGCAGAATAGTCTACAGAAAGGAGAAAAATACCAGAAAAGCCTAGGTATTTGCAGCAATGTTAAGAAATGGTAGGTTTTTGTGACTGGGGACTCTTAGTCTATCAGTTAATCTTCTTGGAGATCCTTCTGCCCCAGGGCTTAGGAAGGAAGGAAGGAAAAAAGGAGAGGATTCTGGAGATGAATAACTGACTAAGCACATATCTTACAGAAATCGCTTTAGCACTGCGGAATAATTACCCACTTTTTATAGTAAAAAGGAGCTATACAGGTTGAATGGCCTCCATCTATGGAGAAGGAAAACCAGTCTTCTAGGAGACAAGATAGCTAGGCTATTAGAAGGAGGTTAAACTAACAACAAAGGGGCAGGTGAGAAAGGAACACATTTAGCACAAAAATCAATATATCAGAACAAAATTAATTAAGCCTCCCAGGGATCTTAACAAATTTTTAATTGCCTATATGCCAATGCTAGGAAGATAGGTAATGAGTAACAGCAATTAGAAGGGTTCATCTAGTAATATAAATTCAACCTAATTATCGAAATCTGATGGGAGGAGTCAAGTCATTGGAATTTAAAAAAAAAAAAAAAAAAATCACTGGTTATAACCTAGTTATAAACAACTGAATGAACAAGTTAGGAAAAAAATCTACACTAGATCAAAATGGCATTACCTGGTCCCAAATCTATAATGAAAAACCATGAATCCTTATGGCTTACTGTTTTGATAAATAAAAGCACAAAATGGGCTATTAGTGGATGTCTGGCAAA